TTTTTTTTGACTGTTTAAATCTAATGTAGTGTTAAAAATATTAACTATTGTTCTTATTTAGCTACACCTGAAAATAAAGAGGGCATTATTTATTCAATTAAATTTTTAAATTTTTATTTTTTAGGTGATACGGTCTGGACAAAAACTAAAGAAAAAGTGTGCTGACACAGGCGAGAAACGTGGAGGCTGGTTTAGTGGGTTTTGGGGTAAGAAGGAGTCTAAGAAAAAAGACGAAGAATCATTGATTCCTGAAAGTAAGTTCCAAGTCAGATAATTTATTGTACACTGATGAGAAAAAACTATATAAATTCTTTTTTGGTTTATTAGTTGAATTATGTCAAAATACTTTTGAAACATAAGCAAATACAAAGGGGTTTCAAAAAGTTCATGGAAAGATTTGTATTACCTTTAATTCCATTTTTCCATGAACTTTTTAAAGTACCCTCCTCATACATCAGGCTGGTACATTCATGTGTTTACCTAACTAAAAGGAAACTTTGATTTTCTTGATAAAAATTATTTATGTCAAATTTAAAATGTGTAGATTTAGAGGTCTCAACATTTAGCATTCCTTATTGTTGCTTTTTACATGGATATTTAATGACAAGTTTCACTGCAGTTTTAAAATACAGTTGACTCATGAACAACACAGGGGTTGGGAGCACCCCCAACCGCCCCCCAGTCAAAAATCTGCTTATAACTTTTGACTCCTCCAGCACTGAACTACGAACAGCCTACTGATAACATAAACACTCAACACATTTTTATATGTAATATGTTATATGTATATACATATGCCTGCTGGCATAGCTGAAGTGATGGCTTCATGAATTTACTTTTTTTTTTTTTGGAATCGTCTTTATGCTGGATTAATTTATCTTGAAATTGTGGGCAACCACAGCTGCTGACCTCAGTCTATGTCACATATGAAGCAATTCATTTTTTCTTGTAATATCATGACTTTTCTTTGCTTCTTGAGAGCACTTCCAGCATCACTAGTGACACTTCATATGTCCCATGGTGTTATTCAAGGTGTACAGTATTGTACTAAACACGTTGAAAAATGCACAAGAACCACAAGAAGTCACTTTTTACTGCAGTATGCAATTTACTGGAGAGATGAACTGCCCACACTGAGATGATTAGCCTGACATGGCATTTTAAGCGGATACTCTGAACACTTGACTTCACCGCAACAGCAACAGGAAGTGGCTGAGAAATTATTATACTAGTACAGTAGGTACTACAGTTAATTTTATGCAGTTATGATTTAATACTGCATCTTTACATTCATTTACATTTCTTTCGACTGCAAATAGCACCATGTATGGTCTGTGTGTGCATAAGTTTTGATAAATTAACTTTTTATAATAGATTTGTATGTATTTTGTGGTAGTAAATGATAAAAATCCAGCCAGCTGCCAAAAAAAAAAGATAAAATAGCTAGTATCTAAATATATTTTATGCATTCGTGACATACCTAATCTTTTCTTAATTTTTTCTACATTTCTAGGCTATGTGGTTCATCTGTGAGTTTTTTCAAATTGTCACAAATCTCTAAAACATTTTCCAGTATATTGAAAAAAATCCAAGTATAAGTGGACCCATGCATTTCAAACCCGTTTTGTTCAAGGGTCAACTGTATTTAGGGAATTCTAAAATCCTAATATAAGAACTGAATTTCCTTAATGGTGTCTCTTTAGCTTTTCTTGACCCAAGCAATCAAATATAGGATGATTATTTTAATTAGTCAAAATAGTATATTAGGGGAAATTACCTGGCTGAATTTGCTTTACCGTTTATGTCTATTGATTTTATGTCTGTTGACTTGTTAGTTTGGTTTGATTTTTCAATTGTATTTGTAGAACTGAAACAATTAATTTCTTAAAATATTGTCTTTTCTTTGTAGCT